AAGGCTGCTATTAAATCCCCCTGTGACAGGGGGCTGCCCCAGAGCCAGGTCTCATGCCAGCCTACCCACCTGTCTAGGGCAGTCTGCCCCATCTCTCCTGCCACGACTTGATGTTCTAGTTGGTAACATAAGCAGGAGGCTTCCCATTCCTTGGCCCAATGCCAGGGGGCAATATCCATGGTTTCATACCTCCACCACACTGTGGCCCTGGCCCATGCCTCACAGATGGCATCCAGGTTGGTATTACTCCCTGGCTTCAGGCCAGGGCAAACTAATTCCACTGTTGGGCCTCTTACATACTCCTACTCACTGTGCTCCTCTCTCACAGGGGCCTCTAGCACTCTACTCATCACTGGGTCACTCTCTACTGCCCTGCTTCCTTGAGCAACCCCCTTTGGGCCATCAGGCTTGGTTCATCTCACTCTGGCATGGCACACACAGCAGCTTCACTTCACTCAAGCTCCCCTGCTCTGTGGCCTTTCCTTGTGCCTAACACTGGGCTGACTCTGCCCCTTCACCGGGCAACTTGTTCCTAGTCTCACTCATGGGGGTTGGCCCATGTACCGCCCTTCAAACTGCCCTTGCAGCCCTACTCAGTATGCCTCCCAATGCAGCCCCTCAAGCCACCCTCAGCAGCCCTACTCTGCACCCTCCAATGCCCAGTCCTTCAGGCATCCTACTCTGGGTGGGCCTGACACAACTTTTGTCCCCACTCTGGGGCCTCCAGGGTCCTACACCCCTACTGGTCTCAGATTCCTCTCCATAGGTGCACCTGGCCCCACCCTGCTCTTACAATAACCCACCGGTTGGTGGAGGCTGGGATTAAGGCGCCCCCACCCGCCTTTCACTGTGGGGGAAGGGGGGTAACTGATCTGGTATTTCTTAGGGGATGTCCCACCACAAACAGACCTGCCAGACCCCGCTTCCTGGCAGGGTGCAGTTTCAAGTCATGCCCAGGACCAGGAGCCTCCTGCCATCCCCATAGCTCCTGCCCTTGCTTCCAAGATGTTCCAGGAGCAGCTCAGTCAGATGTTACCTCCCCAGCTGCTGGCAGCAGACTGCTGCCACCAGCCCTGACAGCAGGGCTCTAAAATGGCCACCGTCATCAAGCACCTCCCGGCTTCCTGCTCCCAGCACTTTAAGCGGCAGGCACCAAAGGTGCACTGCCATACCCTACCTCAGACTTTTCTTTTCCAGACTAAATACGCCTCATTCCCTCAGCCTCTCCTCATATGTCATATGCCTCAGCCCTCTAACCATTTTTTTTGCCCTCCACTGGGTTCTCTCCATCATCAACCATAACCTAGACATCAGTTCAGTTGTATAACCCTATCATAATACAGTTACTCATTCTTGCATGTAAAGACAGTATTGATCTAGGCATGGCAGAGTTGTTTGATTTTTTTTTTTTTTAATTGTAGTTTATTTTTTGCTGGTTTTTTATTAGTTTTATTGTGGTGGAAGTTTTAAACCTTATTACTAGAAGGTGTTGGCAAAATACAAAACCAAAATTAAACTGACATGATACCTCATTTTTTTCATATTTAGTTGGTTCAGATTGCCCTTATTCTCATCAAATAATAAGAAATCAGAATGCCTACTTTTAAAAATCATGAATGAAGTGTCTAAAGCACTTCTGAGTCTTTTGTAACACGAAGACGATAAGCTTATAGGACATGAATTATGTCTCACATGTGACTGTGTATCTGGTAAGTAGAACAGCACTGCTTAGAATTAGATATCCCTTTTTAGGGTCATTGGAAAGTAGGACCAGATAGGACCTCATGAAGTCATCTAGTCCAGGCCCCTGCTCAAGGCAGGATCATCCCTGACTAAATTATCCCAGCCAAGTATCTATCCAGCCTGCTCTTGATAGTTTCCAAGGGTGGAAATTCCACAGCTTCTCTGGATAGCTTGTTTTAATGGTTGACCACCCTCATAGACAGAAAGTTCCTCTTAATCTACAGCCTAATATTTTTCTGCTGCATCTTGAGTCCATTGCTCTTATTCCTGTCCCCTGTGGCCACAGAGAAAAGCCAATCTCTATCCTCTCTGTAGTCACCCTCTAGGCATTTGAAGACTGTTATCAAATCCCCTGTCAGTCTTCTCTTCTCTAGACTAAACAACCCTAGTTCTTTCAGCCTCTCCTCATAAGCCTTGCTTGGAAGGCCCTTAGTAATTTTTTTCCTCTATGCTGAACTCTTTCCAATCTGTCCAGATCTCTCTTGAAGTGTGGGGTCAACAACTGGACACATGATTCTATTATCACTGTTATTTGTCTTCCATTATACAATTTCTTACTTCTCAGCATGTTTTCCCTTTAAATTCTTATTTGGAAGCTGTTACATTTTTGAACTTCTGGGATGTGTACAGTAGCTGGCTTAACTGTCATTAACCCTATTTATTTTTTGTAATACTACTACTCCTGGTAGAAATAATAATATAATAATAGTTAATCCTTGTGAAAGTTTACTAGATACCTCCTCCTATTCCCAAATGCTCCCTCTGGCAAGTGTTGTCAGACAAATGTGCTCTGGCACTGATTTCTACTAGACTGTGGAATAGTCTTCCACAGGAAATGGTGGAAGTCCCAGTGCTTGATCCAATTAAAACAAGAATGCTAGAAAATGTGCTGTAGGTAACAATGACTTAAATGACTATACGTACTAAAAGCCTCTCAGTGTTGTGCATACATCGTATAACAGTTAAGCATGCCTCGGAGTAGGCCAGGATTGGCTATATTATATCAGCTGCTCTTATTCCCGTGTGCTAAGATTGTTGTTCTTTTAAAAATCTAATAACCTGATCCTTGGCTTTGTTAGAACTGCTTTGCATTAACACCTGGCTGAAAGAAACTTTAAAGGAGGTATGGTATGTTGCAAGATTGTCCTTTGAAGGGGACCTTCCAGTGGCACAGAGCCAGTATAAGGGCCCTTACATCACATCTCTTCCTGTGGTTGACACTGGTGATTATGGCTGCGGTTTCCTGTGCCCCAAAAATTCTGGCTGCCATTTCAGACCTTTGGAAACTGGTATAATTTAAAGTGTATTTTGCCTACTCTTATTTAGGTTGTGGGTCTAGCTGACACAAAACTGACTCAGGATCAAAGGTGATTTAAAATTATTTTTGCAGCTTCTTCCTGATTTGTGGAGTGCATTCTTTGGCTTCTGCCAAGGATTGAGGCCAGTAAGTCTTTTTCAGGTCTGTATCTATGATGTCCTGGCTTTAGTGCCAATGCCAGAGTCCATGCAAACATTTCCCCCCATAAGATAGGGGATGGAGTCCCACAAACTTAACTATGAACAAATAAGTAAGTTTTAGGAAGAGTTTAAGTTTGGCTTGTTTCTAAAACAGAGATGAATGATTTCACCACCACTGCTGTTTTTATTATAATTGCAATTAAAAGCTTGATGCAAAGAGTAATTTGCAGAACTCTACAGATGTCAAGAGAAGGCAACTAGTGAATATAGCAAGTTTATCATCATAATTAACATCATTCTAGGCTAAGCAGGTAAAAAGATGTCTGGAATTCTTAATAACCACCTGCTATTATTAAGTATATTAGAATACTGGTTAGCAATTAACCCCTTAACTGTTACAAGTCACATACATGGTTCATTGTGCATAGGAGAGCAAAGTACTCAGAAGTGCAGGGATTAAAACTAGCATTAAACAATGGTGCAGGGATTACAACAAGAGTTAAATTATGGTACTTGGTAGTCCCTTTTTCCTATGTATTATATAATTTGCTATAAGATGCATTACAGGAGCATAAGATAATTTACAAATAAATTAAAAATCATGCTATCTATTACATTAGATCCCTCTAGCTTTGCATAGGAAGCATGCTTAACAGAGATCTATGCCAACCATCATTACATATATAAATCTTTTTGAAAAAAGAGCTGTCTTTTTGACAATGGGACTAAGTCTAAAGCCTGATTAGATGTTTTTCTCCCCCCCACCCCCCCATAGGCAGGCTCTGATTACTGGGAGCGATATCTCACCATGAATGAATGGCATAGAGGGAGCTGCAAAGACAAAGAGCTGGCTTTGTCTGCTGATGAATTAAGATAGCATGTGGGTGGCTGGGTGGATGGTGAATAGCACAGACTTCCTTCATCCTCCTGTCACTGAGCTTTTCTTGTGTTTTTATGGGAAAAATGGGCTTACTCCCATGAACAATGAATTGAAAGGAAATTAAGGGTGTTAGAAAATAATATTACATCAATATCTTCAAGGGGAGCAAAGTACTGTCAAAGCCCTCGAAGGAAGAAGGGTCCTAGCCTTATGTTACCTTTATTATTACAACAGAATGTTATTGCCGTTGTGGCTTCTACTTCTACTTTTTTATTATTATAATTATGATTACTATTATTATTACTTTTGTTATCATTGTTATGATTAATAATACTTCATTTGCAGTATTATAACTGCAGGGCACTCAAGTACAGCAGATTGGATTAATAAATTATAAAAATGGTGTGACATATGAAAAAGTGACATCTGCACAAACCCCTGATATGACTACAGGGCTGGCTGCACCACAGTCCTTTTGTGAAGCTAACTGGGCACTTCTCATGTATTCTCAAAATACTGACGTATTTTGGCATGTAATTGTGCAAGTCCCTCACACTTGCACCAGAAACTGTTAGCAAACCCATTGAGTTGATAACAGCCTGTGATTGATTCAGCATGTCCAACTGAGTGTGGACTATGCAAGAATTTTTGGGAGCATGTGTGTGCATTTTTGTGCAGCCTGTCAGCTTTGCCTAGTTTATGACAACCCCGCTTCTTTTCCATTTTTAATGTGAGCCCTGATGCTTCTTTTTACCCCCAAATCAGCTTTGGGAAGAGTAACTGCATCCTGACAGAGAACTTCTGCACCTACTTGCTAGTCCAGCCTTGCTGTATAACTGCATTTGAAGCTGAATACTTGCTCTTTTGCTTGTAACATTGCTTTATCTTTCCTGTTAGCTGCTTTAACAACCTTTTACAGTTTTCTTTAGATTAATGCTGCCATCAGGCAGTCCACACTATGCAACTGAGCAGGCTAACAGACTCGCATATAATATCCATAAAAGGTAATATCAATATTTTCCCAATTTTTTTACCGTCCCCCCAATTAAGGGCCAGATTATGATATTGTTACTCATGTAGAGTAGCACCTCCTTTTACATGTACACTCATTTATGTTAATAGGAAATGTTGTAGAATAAAGGCATAATTATATTTTACCTAGTGTGTGAGCAGAGTCCAGCTTGCAAGTGACTGATTTACCCAGTTAAAGTGTAGAAGCAATTCTCTTGCCCCCTCTAAGCATGTACATGCCCCATGCTAGGACTAAGGAGAGATCTGCACACCTCCAGTGCATGATTCTCAGGTCACCTCCCTTGTACTGCAGCAAGCTGGGAGTAAAAGATGATGGATCAAAAAAAAAAGGAAGGGAACAGAAAGGAGAATTCATCCCCTGTCTGATTCCAACCCACTTTAGGTGTTACATGTCCTAATCCTCCTTCCAAAAAGCTTGCTGTGCCAAAGAAACCCTCATTGTAATCTTCCTTCTTCTGACCAGTCCTCAGAATAGTACAAAATACATGATGGGCTATGAAATCAAAGCAAACCCTCCTCTGTGTTAGTCCTGTTGTATACTTGAGAATATTAATAGATGAAAAAAGTGACATGGATCTTGTGCCCTTTGGTCAGCTAGATCTAGTGCATTGCATAATGTGCCATGCTAGATAATATTTTACACACAATTTTGTGATATAGATAAAATAGGTCTTTAAAATGTCGAGAGCACAGAAAGATGCATGCAATAACTGACACCAAATTTCATTAGCCTGATTCTTATGTGAATTGTGCTGCTGTAAATAAAAAGTAATTCCGCCAGTTACTGGAGTGACAGGCTGTATCTACATGAGACACTAACTGCACAGTACCCTGAGACTACTGCACAGTAGTGTTATGTGGCAGAAACTGCGACGTAATGTTACTGTACAGTAGTCTTGGGCTACAGCACAGTAGTGTCACAAAAAAGCCATTTGTTGGCACTACTGCACGGTAACTCAAGTTACTGTGCTGTCATTTAGTACTTGCTTGTACAAGTATTAAATGAAGCACAGTAGCGACTGTGCAGTCAGCATCTCATGTAGGCATGGCCACAATGATGTAAAATGGTAACAAGCACTAAAAAAAATTAGCTCGCAGAAAGTATGGGTTTAATACTCTGCACTGTTCTGGACCCTGAATCCACGTGCCCATTATTCCAGCATTGCTTTATGTCTCTCCCTCTCCCCTTCCCAGAATAATGGACATATAATAGGAAAATATGTATCTGCAATATCAGGTCAGAAAGTTTTTCAGGACAGAACAAGAATAGTCCCAGGTCCTGAGATTTGCACACAGGGTAGTTTCCAATGATCTCTGAGTAAATCTACAAATAAAACAAAAGAAGACTGACAAATGAAGTGCTCCTTCCCCTGACATTGCTGAATATTCTGCTTTGTGCCATTTCATGCTTGCTTCATTTTCCTTGCAGCAGAGTTCTTCTGGTGTGGAATGTTAATGGGATGAAATAAGCAGTGGTGCTCATTTCTGGGCTTTTCAGTAGCTTCTGCAGTGCCCCTTGAGAACTCAGCTAAACAAGCCTGATTTCTCATTATTGCATCTTATTAAATAAGTGTGACTGATAGCATCTTTTTCGCTCATGCTCATGCCCAAACTGATGGACTTGAGAACCAGTAAGAAGTTTGTTTAGACCGCTTGGGAGGAGCTACTTTGATTATATTATGATAGTGGTTTCCTGCATCTGCAAATTGCTTCATGCCAGGATAACTTGCAAAGTTTCAAAACTGCATTTGGTGGCTTTTCTTGATGATATATAAATGTGTCCTAAATGTTTGACATGTTTGTGCACCATATTTAAATCTGCACATTTTTGCATAAATACAAGTTTTGTCTGCCCTGTTTTGGTTTTTTTTCCTGAAAGAATCTACAGATGACTGGAAAACTAGTAAGATTAAAGAGAAAGGGAAACCTGAATAAGTGTCTTTTATTCAGACTGTTTAAATCTCTTTGTATTTGGTTTGTATTCTGTCAATACCAATTTAACTTAAAGGCTAGACAGAGATTTAGGAAAATAGTTGCCTTTGTTAAAGTTTTAACCTACCCTTGCCCCTTCGTTTAAGCACTAAGAAATTTCCTCCTCCATTTCTCTTCTAGTCCAACGTGATCTACATCAAAAGAAGGATGACAAGGCTGGATATCCTTGTGGTTTTTAATGTTAAAGAAAAGTAAAACAAACTGCTTCCACTATAGTTTTTGATAAAAACTTCCTGGCCTTGTGTATCCACCATAAAATAAAATAAAAATGAACCCAAATTCAATTAGTTGTGTACTAGTTTCAAGTCATTTATCCCTATTTCACACAAGAACTGTTTGAACCCGGGGAGTTGCACAAGTTTAATTTATAATTTGGCCTGTGAAGCTTTAATCACTGATGTGCTTGACACTCAGATGTGAAGTTTTGGCTGCTACAACAGGCATTTTATTCCTTACAAACCTAGAAAATATGATTGGGGGTCATCAAGAGGCCCTTTACTCCCATTATGAAACACCAGTAATTTTGTCAGATTACTGGATACATCTCATCTGCTCGCCATTCCTACCAGAACAACTACAACAGCCCTTGTAGTGCAAGTTAGCAGACATATTGCTAATGTGAAGAGTCATTTGTATCTGGTGTTATCCCTATAAACACTGCCCAAATATTCCATGAGTCTACAACTGTGCAATTAGCCATAGAATTTGCCCCATGCCACAGAAGTTGGCTCCCTGGTATAACGGGACCAAGTTTCATGGAGCTATGGCTCTGGGTGTTTGCAGAAGGAATGGTTGTATTTCTTGGAAACTTGATAAATGAATACTGCCCTGTATGGTTCAGATGGTTGTCATGGAACTGTTTCCACTGAAGATGGTCACACCCCGGAAGTATGCCCTACTTTTAAAGTCCCCCTCAGGACTTCAATAGGCTGTTACAGCTGTGTTAGATGGCGTCTATAGAGGGACTTTATTCTATTTCCAGGTGAACTGATCGCAGAAAACTACTAGATTTTATTGATTTCCTGGACTGTCCTGGCTGGTAACCTTGTGTCCAGTTTTGGCTCTGTCTAGAGAGGAACTGAGGCTAATCCTAGGCAGCAAGAGTAAGGGAAAACATCTGTGGGGGCAGCGAGCATGAATTCCCCAGTGTGCTGCCCTTGCATGACGAAAAGACTACTGAGCCATTAAATAGCACACGGAAGGGAGCTGATGCACTGTTGGCTAGACAACTGGTGCTGATTCATTAGACTCTAATTACAACTTATTTTTCCCATCCTCCAGTCTTTACAAAGGGTTGCTTTGGAAAGGCAGCGTTGGAAGTGACTCCTTCATCCAGGGATTGCCAAAAAGTCAGATGGACCCCTGTCTGTCTTTCATTCCTTTTGTTTTGTGTTTTTGGAATAAATACAAACCTGGTTTGCAAACAAAAGGGGCATTGCTATATTTACTAAGTGTGGATTGCTTGACTTTTCAGTCAGATGGGGATCAACCACAGGACAAGGAATGCATGCTGGCAGCTTCTGCTTGTTCATCATTAAAAAGAGAAAATCAAAGTTGTGCTTCAGATCCTTGCAGATATTGATCAGTGCAAATAATATCGTGGGCAGGCTTATGTTGTTCTTTTGGTCTCCTTCATTCACAGTACCTGCTGTGTCAAAGAGAGTAGTTTATTACCTACGTTCACAGTGGTTCAGTTTTACTACAGTGTAATGGTTAGAATCAAGATGGAATCAATGCCAAAAGTGACACCTTACTGTCCTGTTCAGCGCAACCTGAAGCCTGTTCAAGAGAAAGCACTTAAGTTTCATGATAGCTGTTCTACTCACAAGGACTAGACTGAAGACTCTTGTTTTTTTCTTCTAAATTAAGATACTGCTAACAAGAGTGTAACAGTTCGTACCTTTTACTTGCATTTGTCTCTCTAAATATTAACTATGGAGTTTAAAAAAAAAATGCAATGTATTTTCTTGGGCTAAAGTTACCTGGCAAAGACAAAATATTACTGTGGAGCACAGTTGATATTGGCCAGCCAAAGTTACCTCCTCTATCATAGCCCTAACACTTTTTTACTTCTAGGCATTTCTTTAAAATCCTTCATATAATAAGAAAAAGTCCTTTGTCTGGTGCAACACTCATGAGTATACATGCGATAAAGAAGTGGCACTCACAAGCAATCTATAGTAACAAGCAGGTGCTACTGAGCCAGTCTGAATTAACAAACCAGTGAAAGAAACCTATGCATGCCCAAAACACACTGAAAGCTACCTTGGAAAGGAACATATTTTAATTTCAAGTTTCCAAGGAGACAGCAGTGAGGTATTACATTTATTTTTAAAACTTCAAAAACAGTAGGAGAAGGAGGCACTTGCAGAGACCCGAGGGCTGTGGAAACAACCTTGAGAGGCTCCGAGGAACAGGGGTAAAAGAAGCAGGCTGCGTGCTCTCTCTCTCTCTCTCTCTCTTTCACACACACACACACACACACACACACACCCACCCACCCTTGGGTCTCACCGATTGGACGGCCTAATAACAGGGGTTAGGAATGCAAGAGGGAGTAAAATATAGATGGATGCCATTCCTCTCTGCAGAAGTGAATATGGCCTTTTAGGAAACTTGTCTTGGTGCATGCTCAGGGAATAGGTAAGTCGCTATAGAGACTTTCACTGTCATTGGTTTGTAATCTAGTTCAGCTTGCTTGTGAGCTGTAGCTGCTCAGCACTGTCATCGTTTCATCAACCACTGAGTAATGGTCTGGCTCCCAGGACAAGTATTCACATCAGAAAAGAACCCCATTGAAACTGGGGAGAACCGGATAACTTAATGACAGCAATAGGGAGGCGAAGAATAAGACATGGATAATGAACAATTGCAGTCACCCCCTCAAGTCAGAAAGGAGGCCCACTCCTATGGAATATGTGAGAAGAATTTATGCAGCTTCAGTTAGTTGTCCCCATCTGTGATGGTTTTGAACTCTTATAAAGTACATAGGATATGTCTGTACTGCAATGAGCCCTGGAAGAGATGCTACAGGGCATGCTCTACCCACCTGTTCCCACTTGCTCATGCCAAACCCAGAACTATGTCTGTGAGGCTGCTCTGGGGGCATTGCCCTCAAGGCATCAGTCTCCAAAGTGCTTTAAGGAGGCCACTGGGGTTGCCCCAGAGCAAACTCAAAGATCAATTTTTGGGCTTGATGCACATGTGCATGGGCAGATAGGTAAGGACATACTTAGGGGTTTCCCCTAACAAAACACACTCATAGTTTTAAGGCGGATGCTTTGTGGAAACAAAGGAGGCAGTGTCCTCCATCTTTTTATTTGGGTGGTTGGAGTAGAGGAGAGTTATAAGAAGCACAGGTGATGAGAACTTAATTTAGAGGAAGCTCCAATAATATGGGGAGGTGGAGAATGGAGCAAGGCATGTGTGGGATTGGAAGCTAGGTAAGGAGATACTCAGGTCTTGGCAGCTGACTGAGAAAGTCAGGCTGGAGCTCATGAGCAATTTGGCTATGTGGGAGCTCTAGCTTTGTGTAAGAAAAGGGAGGGAGCTGTGGAAAATACTTGCAGTGCAACATATACAGCACATGCTTAGGATCATAAGAAAGTAAAGCTGGAAAGGACCTCACAAGGTCAAGTTTAGTCACCTGCTCAAGGCAGGATTGTCCGTGACTAAACCATTTGTGCCAAGTGTCTATCCAACCTGCTCTAGCAAATTTCCAAAAAAGGAGATTCTTGAGGTAGGCTCTTCCCATACTTGACCACCCCCATAATCAGGAAGTTCCTCCTAATCTGCAACCTAGATGTAATCTGCTGCCCTTGAAACCATTGCTTCTAGTTCTGTCCCTTATGGCCACTGAGAAAAATCCCATCCCCATCTTCTCTATAATCAACCTTCAGGTATTTGAAGACTGTTATCAAATCCACCTCAGTCTTCTTTTCTCCAGACTAAATAACCCTAGGTCTTTCAGCCTTTTCTCATAATCCTTGCTTCCTAAACCCCTGACAACTTTTGTCACTCTGTGCTGAACTCTCTCCAATCTGTCCAGGTTTGGGCCCCACACTTCAAGAGGAGTGGACAGATTGCTCCAGGTGAGGCCTCACTAGTGCTGAATCACTCCCCTTGATTTGCCATTAAGATTCTTACTGATAGAGCCAAGTATTCTGTTCGCTTTTTTTCTCCTGAAACAAGAGGTGCCTGGAAATTGGAAACTAGCTAATGTGGTCCCCATTTATAAGAAAGGGAGAAAGAAGGACCCGGGAAACTATAGGCCCATAAGCCTCACATCAGTCTTTGGGTAAACCCTTGAAATAATTATCAAGGATCACATCTGTGAGGGGTCAGCAGGAGAGATCATGCCCAGGGGAAATCAGTATGGGTTCAAAGGCAGGTCCTGCCAGACCAACCTGATGGCCTTTTATGACCAGGTAACTAAATCCCTGGATGCAGGTGTCGCCATGAATGTAGTCTTTCTGGACTTTAAGAAGGCCTTTGACACTGTCTCTCACCCCATTCTCATTAATAAATTGAGCAACTGTGGCATTGATGCCTACACAGTTGGATGGGTCAAAAATTGGCTGATGGGGCGCACCCAGAGAGCGGTGGTGAACGGGTCATACTTGACCTGGCCGGATGTGAATAGTGGGGTCCTCCAGGGCTCAGTCCTGGGGCCTACACTGTTCAATATCTTCATCAGCAACTTGGATGAGGGGGTGGAAAACACAAGTTTGCCGATGACACCAAGATGTGGGGAAAGGTAGGCATGCTCGAAGGGAGAGAGAGGCTGTAATTAGATTTAGATAGACTATAGAAGTGGGCAGATGGTAATAGGATGGGGTTGAATGTAGATAAATGCAGGGTGCTGCACCTGGGGAGAAGGAATCCACAGCATACATACAAGCTGGGGAGCTCCCCCCTTGTGAGCACAGAGGCAGAAAGGGATCTTGGAGTCATTACTGACTCCAAGATGAACATGAGACTCCGATGCCAGACCGCAGCCAGCAAAGCCAACTGCACCTTGTCGTGCATCCAAAGATGAATCTCAAGCCTGTCCAGAGAGGTGATGCTTCCCTTCTATGCGACACTGGTCAGGCCACAATTGGAGTACTGTGTCCAGTTCCTGGCACCGCACTTTAAGAAGGATGTGGCCTGCCTTGAGAGGATTCAGAGGAGGGCCACCCACTTGGTTGGAGGGTAACAGGGCAGGCCCTATGAGGAGCGGGTGAGGGTTGAGGGACCTGAACCTGTTCAGCCTCAGTAAGTGGAGGCTGAGG